ATTTTTTTTTTCAGCTTTTATTGAGTTTATTGGTACATTTTAGGGATACAGTACAGTTACATTCATTGTTGGGATCTTTTACCTACATGACAAGTCTTGATTCTCATTTTTTCCCCTTACCCCTGCCCTCCCTTCACCCCCTCCTCCCCTCCCCATCTACAAACACTTTATTGGCACTTATTCTTTCATTTAAGCATTAGATAAATAAAAATAAAAGTGGCGGTTGATTGAAATGTGAAATGCCTCTAATGACAACACACAGTTTACTACAGGTAATTTTACATGTAACTGAACTATTAGATAGATACCTGGTATGAAATGCATAAGATGGATCTTTTTCATGGCTGTCCTGAGGTATGTTGGGTAGATTTCTGGCTGAGGGTTTGATGCGGTCTTGATGAGTCCTTTGTGCATTGCAGAGGGGAGTCTCTAGATAACCTGGACTCACAGCGGTCTGATTCTTGGAGACAGTCCCCTTGGCTCAATCAGTCTTCGGGAGTCTATGCTTCTTCCTCCGTTCAAGACTTCAGTCGCCCACCTTCTCAGTTCCTGTCCACGTCAAACCGTGCCTACGTGCGAAACCCATCCTCCAGTGTGGCCCCTCCTCCTTCTGGCCCAGGGAAGCCGGCTGCCACTATGCAGTCTGCCACCCTGCCTGGCCATTCCACTTCTCCTTCACAGCCGGGCTCTCAGCTCCGCAACAGGTAAGGCATTTCGAGTTTCTCTTTTCCTTCTCTTGGTTTCAGGGGTCTTTTCGTTAAAAATTTCCCCAGACCTTATCCTCGCATTTTGGTAAAGAAATATGAGCCTTTTGAATGTGTCCAAGTCAGTTCTTTCATCAAATCAATTGAGAAGTCTTTCTTAGTACCTTCATAGTGTCTGTGGACCACCTGAGACCTTTAAGATGTTCACTGGTTGCCAGGGACTGGTCTCTCTGTGTCTTAGATGGAAGAGGAATGTGAGGAGTGTTACATGTGGAATCACAAAAGTACGCAGCAGCTCTTGAGTACATTTCACATTTTTTTGTAGCAGTAATATTGCAAAATATTTGACTTTTCAGTGATACACAAACTCATAGGAACTGAAAGAAAAAGAAAAATGCTATAATCCAGCTCCATAATCTGGGAAGCTTTTAAAAAGATGGATTTAAAAGAAAATTATTAAGTAGATTAGATCTTGCTTTGGGGGTTTTTGATTGCCCAAACCCTTACTTACCTGTTACCTGGTTGGCCAACATGGTGTCCAGGCTGCATTGGCTGAATTCTGTAGGTCCTGCGGTATGGGAAGTGTGTAAGAGGTTGATGGCCTCTTGACTAGCAGTTTACCTTGTGCTGGAAGGGAAGCACAGATGTCTGAGTGGGTTGTATTCTTAGATCTGCACAGCTTATCCACAGATATTTTGGGCTTCCCTAAGTACATATAGCGATGCATCTGTTCTACTTCAATGTGCTACTTTTTGTCACATACTCAATGCTTATAAGTTGAAATACACTGATACTAGATTTTTTTTTTTTTGCTATCAAAGAAGGAATTTTAAAAGAAAACACTTTATATCCAAAAGAATATATTTATCAGACCTTACAAAAATGTGTGTTAGAGAGTTTGAAGGCAGAGAAAGAGGTGAGGACTTAATGGTCAGTTTGTCAGGGAAGACAAAATCTGTGCAGAGAGGACCCATTTGCTTCCTGGGCTCTCCAGCCAAGGGCAACAGAGAAGGTCTTGACTGGGGAGACGACTGTTGTACTGAGTAGCCACGCAATGCTCAGTGCCACTGAGGGGTTGTACAAATGCTGGTGGGTTGTGAAGGTAAAAAGAAAGTGCCTTAGCACTGGGAGAGATGAGGTCCACATTCAAAAGTAAACTAGAAGTCCCCTCTCCTAAATAAATACTTATTGTCTAGTGGTGCCCATTTTATTCTCAGCAGAAGCAATTGTAGAAACCAGGAGGAACAGTGAGAATAGCACTGACACCTCTATTTCCCTAGAAAATCGGGCAAGTAAGTTGCAAAGTAAAGCTAAGAAGTATGCCGTGGAGGACTCACAGTACATCTCAAAGGAAGTGAAGGCTATTCTTAGCATTTTGAGAGGTGGCATGAGATGATAAGAGTTGAGGGCTTTGGTGGGTTTCCTTGGCAAGAAGACATAGTGTGGATCAAGAGGAGGGGAGCTATTGCTGAGCACATGGGTGACCTAAGGAGGATGGTGTCGTCAAGTGCCAAATGGACTCATTTACAGTGAAGTTGTTTATTAAGGCAGATAAGGGTCTAAGAGCTGCTATGCAGAAAGTCCAAGGTTACAATAAAGTCAGGGCATGCTTCAGATGGCTGTGAAAGGTTTTCTCCTATAGTCCTCAGAGCTTTTCTTGGCTTATTATTAATGATGTTAATCCAGAATGATTTTAAACGCGAGTCTTGCACTGCACAGGTGAAAGCCTCCATTCCATTCTTGTTCTGCATCTAGGTCAATCAGTGGGAAGCGTGTGTGCTCCTACTGTAATAACATTCTGGGCAAAGGAGCTGCCATGATCATCGAGTCCCTGGGTCTTTGTTATCATTTACATTGTTTTAAGGTGAGACTGCAACAAACAGCCTGCAGGCCTGCAAAGCTTTGCTTGGAGATCGCATGGCTTCATGGAGCCGCTGGGTGTGGTTGTGCCACTAACAAGCTAGGTGCTGTGTGTGTCAGTCTGTGCTGCGTTGGATTCACGCAACAGTTGCTACTACTGAGTTCTACAAACTTGAACCTTATTATAAAAAATCCGAAAACTCTATGCATTTCCCATCTCTTGTTAGAATTCTATAAATAAAGATTACAATGCATAAATGTTTTCTCTAACGTGTTACCACAGGCATACTTACAATACAATTTACCAGTGTTACTGACGACATAGGGACGTGCAATTACTGCAGCGTCTGAAAGCCTCGCTGTGACTAGCGAAAATATGTAAAGAAAAACCATTGTAAATATTTTCACAGTTGCACAGCCTTGTTAGGCCTGATAGGATTTTGTAGATAACAGTGAACTAAGGCTGTTCTGACTGCTTTGTTTTGCAGTACTTATTTCTAGAGACACATTTGTTTAGTTCTTGAGCATGCATCTGGCCAGAAGCAAGGTTCCCGTTTGTTGATTGCGGAGTGCACAGACCACAGCTTGTTTAAGCATTCACTGCACTGGCTTGGGCTATTCCTAGGTAGAACAAAATGAGTTAGAATAATTAGTGTTTGAGCACAAGGGACCAAAATCCCCAGCATTGAAGTGAGCTGCCCTGCAGGGACACTCACCACGCTAGTGCCACAAGAGTGTTGGGCATGGCCCACTGCAGAGTGGCGTGTCAGAAACCAGAACTCCATTCACTGTAGCAGTCCTTTCATGGGGTGACTTATCCTCTGTTTCCTTGGGGGTGCATGAAGGCTAAATTTCTGTAAGCCAATCAGCAAATTACTTCTGCTTTGAAGGGTAAATTTAGAATGATCATCTTGGCTCTTAAAATTGGCTTTATGAATGCTTTAAATAATATTTTCTCTGGCAGGCTTGATTTTAATCTACTAATAATCTCTAGGTTTTTTTTAATTTTTATTTTTTATTTGTTGAAATATAACCAAGAGCTTAGCAGCTACATTCTGTGCATTCTGAACTTTCTTGAGCTTATGGGTGTTCTTTTCTGTACCCTAGTGTGTGTCCTGTGAGTGCGACCTTGGAGGCTCTTCCTCAGGAGCTGAAGTCCGAATCAGAAACCACCAACTGTACTGCAACAACTGCTATCTCAGATTCAAATGTAAGAGAGCAAATCAGAGAGAAAATTTCTTGCCTTTTAAAGAGACCGCGAGTTCCCATGCATTTCCCTGAGTCAGTAGCCACCTCCCCGCCAGGTTCACTGCCATAGGAGTCTAGGTCTCAGGAATTTTAGTCTGTCCCCTTCAAAAAGTTGTTTAGCAAATGGGCCGCTGTCAAGGTTCTGGGCACATGAGGGGAGAACTAGGGAGGGGCACAAATCTGAAAGTTGGAACAGTGTCTTGTAGTCTCTGCAGGATCTGGAGAAAGCTCTGATCATTCAAGAATACACAATCAGACTGAAATAGTTGAACAGATCATCTTCATAGATTAAAATCTGCTTCTTGATTAACGATTGGTGTCTTATCATCAGCTTATTTCTATTATCTAATGAAATTTGATTATATGATTTAGACTATAACAACTTTGAAAATGATCATTCAAAGTAATAAAGAATAAGTAACTGTGTTTAGTGTTGGTATATAATCATATATAAATACATACACTATTTTTAAAAAGGGAGCCTTAACTCTGATTATATGGTGTTTCAATATCATCTTTTGGCAAAGCTTGAGTTTTTAAAAGAATTTCAATTGCTACTTTGCATTCAGCATGTGTTTGTGTGTTATGAAATATAGGGTATCATAATTAGTTTGTGTATTGTTTATAACTATAGCAAGAGAACCATTACTGTTGTGTGTATTTTGAACCTTGATGCTGGTAACATTTTTTCTTCCTTATTGTGAAAGGGTGGTATAGGTGGTATCAGCAAAACCATTTGCTTTTGAACTCTGAGGTATTTGAATGGTCCCTCATGTGAAGAGTGCTTTGGAAGTGGCTTAAGTCTTGCCAACTCTCTTTTATCTGTCAGTGGCTCTGAACTTTCCTTCCCAGCTGTCCAGGCCTTCACTGGACCCTGGCCCTGAGGTTGGAGAATGTCAAGGCTGGGCATGAACTAGGGGAGTGTGTGTATGTGTGTGTGCTTTTCTCTTTATTCCAAAGCCAAATATACTTGATTTTTGGAATCACTATTGTAAGATTGCCCATGCCTTTTCTCCCCTTCAGTGCAAATAAGATAGAGTTGAGTGTAATTTCTTTCTATATCAGCAGTTAGTTTTTACTCCATTAAAAAAAATAATAATTGTGGAGCCCAAAGGCTGCTGTTTGCCTAGCTTTATCCTAAGACTGATTGACTGATGACTCTTTCTACCTCACCGGGCTGCTCTCTGAGTGATGACTGCTATGTATCCCAGGTGGCAATATTCACGTGTTTCTGAATCTAAGCACTTTTCTCTCTCCTCTCTTGCCTGATCAGCTGGACGGCCAACTGCCATGTGATGTAAGCCTCCACTTGAAAGCACTGTTGCAGATAGAAGAAGAGGTGGTTGCTGCTGATGTAGATCTATAAATATATGTTGTATGTCTTTTTTGCTCTGTTTTGTTTTTTTTTTAAAGTAATTTGAGGGGCTTTATTAGACTATCTGGGAACACTGTAGTCTCAGTAGAACCAGTATTTTTGATGTTTATTTATAAGAAGGAAATTATGTGTGGGGGAAAAGTGCAGTATTCACTTATTGAATTTAGCATCTGAAAAGCACAAGAGAAAAAACAAGAATTGAAAAATATTTTGAGGTGGATAACCTAGTTTGTTTGACTCACTAGTGGTGTTTTGAGGAAGGTATTTTATGTTTTTTTAAAGTTCTTAAACATTATTTGGAATAGATAATATAAATATGTAGTTGCACCTACTCTGTTTATTGTAATGTATACTAAGTTACTTCAGGAGCATATAAAATTTTTCATTTAAATCCACCCTAAATTTGCTTTCTGTATCCTTTCTACCTATGTAACATGATGAAAAAAATATTTAGCTTATGTAACATTTATTTGCTTGATGATGGGAGCTCTGTTTTCTTCTCCAGAACTGTTGCTAAGTAATTCCTGAGTAGAAATTGTTTGTTTTCATAAATGGAAAATAACCATGGTTTATTTACCAGAAGTTTTCTCCAGAAACTGTTGAGCTTTTCTGTTCAGCTGCATTTGTAAATAAACTTGTTAAAGCATTTAAAGAGTGGTTCTTTTTTTACTTGTGTGTACATGTCTCCTTTTTTGGCCTTTTAATCATATTTTGATACATGATCATTCTTGGTATTATGTTTAGTAATTTTACTAAAATATCACTGACATAATAAACCACATCTTTAAAATGTACAATCTGACAAATTTTGGTATGTGTGCGTCTGTGAAATTATTGCTACAGTCTTGATATTTTTAATGGAAAACTTTAGAGAAATTTTGTCTTTATTTTAATAAAGTTATGTCTGAATACAAATTTTTTTTATAGTAAAAAGTATGATAATAAATGGTTGGATCACTGAATAGAATCTTTACATTCATTTTATTACTCCAGTAAGGTAGAAAAATCTAAAGAGAAAAAAGCATTCTGTTTTAGAAATCTAGAGTAGAAATGCAAGAATAAAAACTTTAGCATACTTTGAACCATATATAATCTTGCTTGAATGCTTTAAAATAATGTAAATGGCTACATAATTATAGGAAATGAGAACTGTATCAGAATAGGTTTAAAATACGTAGTAATGAAGTATTAATGTGGGAGAAAATAGAAATTTTAGTTCCAGTTTTAGTTGGAGGAAGTAGTCACTGGAGGCATTTCCTTGAAATGATGTCCCTGGCCAGCCCCTGCTTTTCTGACTCTCTGACTCTCTGCTACCGGGCTGTCATAAGGTAAGCAGCTTTCTTTCTTGTTTTTTTTTTTTTTTTTTTGACAGGGTCTCACTATATAGTTGAGACTGATCTGGAACTCACTATGTAGCCCAGGCTGGTGTTGATCTCACAGTGATCCTGCTGCCTCAGCCTTCTGAGTGCTGGGATTACAGGTGTGTGCCACCACTCCTGGCAAGGTAAGCAGCTTTCTTTATGCCCTTCAGCCATGATGTCTGCTTCACCATTAGCGCAAAGTGATGAAGTCTGTGGACCATAGATTGAAACTATGAGCCAAAAAATAAAGATTTCCTCCTTTTAGTTGTTTCCTCAGGCCTTTTGTTACAGGAATGGGAAAGTGACTCACATGCAGGCTGTGGTCATACTGCTATATTTCAAGCTACATATAGACTTTGACCTTTAAATAATCATTTACAGTTGCACTTTGTGGTAGTTGGTAGGAATTCCCTTGAAGTTGTAGCATTGAATTGCCTTGCTAAGTTTTCAGTCTTCATGCTAAGAATTTTCATTATTTGTTTGATGTCTTCACCTGTGCTTTGTGGGAAGCAGGGACAGAAATTCCCGTATGGATAAGCTATTTCTGTGTTTTAAAATTTCATAAATATTCCTCCAGCTTCTTCCTGTTCTTCATCTATGCAACAGTTACACATATATTCCCTGGCTGTTTACTCTTTTGTTGTTGAGAATTACCTCTGTAAATAGAGAATTGTGCCCCTATTTCAAGTGCTAAGCCAACTGGGAACCTTTATCACTCCTCCCTCTGTGGGGAGAATTGAGAAGAATTAGAAGGGATGATTTCTTCCATACTTCTGTGAAAGCAAATTTTTCTGTTTTAGGAGTTGGCTTGAACACAGAGAAAAGTTGAGAATTTTATCTCAGTGTATGTTAAGGCATGAATCTTCCCTGCCAAATTCAAAAAAGAAAACATGAACATTAAATTTATTCATTTTAAAAATTTAATCTTTGTATCTTGCTTAAAATGTTCCTCTGTATCACAGTGAAAACAAAGGTGAAACTTAGTTTCAATGAGTAGACATAAGATAATAACTGCCTCTTATTAGAGTTGAGAGATATGTCTAATGGTGTGTCAGTGTTGGGATTTTACTCTTTTCGCTTAGCACTTTCACATCCTTGAAATCTGGAGGAAGGATTAAAAGGCATGTGAATGCAAGTCCCAGTTCATGTAAGTAAAAATAGCTTGTACATAAAATCCATACAGAGAGCAAGAAAACATTTAGATTCTTTTTCATAAAGCCATGTGGATTCTAGAAGCAGATATGATTAATAAAAGGTCAATGTTATATGAAAGAGGCACATACCAAAGGATGCTCATCCATGGTAAAATAACTTGGATTACAAGTACATTGTGTGAGAATCCAGGAGTCACACATTAAGGGAATAGAAATGATTTTACAGGGCCGGGGATTTAGCTCAGTGGTTGTGCTGCCTGCCTTGCAAGCGCAAGGACCCAAGTTCAATCCCCAGTACCAAAAAAAAAAAAAGAAGAAGTGATTTTACAGCATAGTTGATATTTGAACACATCTTTAAGGGCAGATACAATCCTGATAGGTTGAGGACGTGGAAAAAACAAAATACCACTTCTGAGTTGCGTTCCATGTGCCAGTGGCTTTTCCCTACTTTGTGTCCCCACCAAAACCTTACACAGTTTGGCTTGTTTGGTAGAGGAATGAGCAGATCACTAGCTATGCTCTGTGTGTTCAGAATGTAGTGATTATTTGACCCAGTACTTACTAAAAGAGGACTGTTTTAGTGTTCTATAGCACAGTAGAATACTATAGTTTACAGTTTACAATTTATTATAGACATTCCTCATTTAATGACCGGCCCTGTGACTAGGTCATTAAATGAATTTGTCTCTCAGTGAGGACTTGTATATAGTATTTACATTACAATACATTTTCACAACAAAGAAATGGTCCAAGAAAACTCCAATTTGATGACTTTTGCTTTTATTTGCATAACTCTTACATGCAGTACTGCAATGTATAAGAGAACATAAAACCACAGTACTATACAGTACAATAAAAAATTACAGTGCTGTATAAACGTGTACTATACAGAAAAAACAAGACTCTATAAACAAGAAATGTATAATAGAAAAAATGGGTTGTAAGTCTGAGTGGTAAGTCCTAAGTACAACAGCATGACTTGGTTATAAATCTGAAGAGTAATTAAAGAGGTAGATTGTTAAAAGAGAAACATCTGTATATATTTTATATAGGACTAGATGAAAAGAATTCAAAGGTTCCCAACACAAAGAGATGAATATTTCAAGGAGATGCAAATATTAGCCCTGATTTGATCATGTATGTGTACATTTGCATGTATAAATTAATTATCATTTGTTAATTAAAAAATTACTTTGAGAAACATGGGCCCAGAGTTCTACAAATACCAGATTAAAAATATCATGCAGTAATGATTTCCCAAAGCACTTTCCAAGAGAGCTGTAAATGGCTTATTCTCATTTAGGCTTCTAGTCAAATGACATCTGCTCAGATGATTTCTCCATGACTAGCTAATCAGATTTTACCTTGTAATTATACATATCATTGTACTCTTTTACTAATTATTTGCATCTTCTCCCAGAGCAATGAAGACTCCATGGAGGTAGGACTTTCCATCATTGTATTGTGTGTTGCTAGTACCCAGAATAATGCCATAGTAGATGCACAATAAATGACGAATACATGAATACCTCAAACAAGTAGGATTAGAAATCCCATTTGACCCATCTATCCCTCTGCTGGTATCTTCCCAAAAGAATTAAAGGAATCATACCACAGCAATATATGCTCACCCATGTTTATAGCTGCACAGTTTGTAAAAGCTAAAACTTGGAAATAGCCCAATTGCCCATCAACTGGAGACTGAATAAAGAAGATTAAAAAAATAAAATGGAATACTACTCAGCAAAAAAGAATGAGAAATTAGAGACATTTATAGTTAAGTGGATGCACATCAAGACTATACTCAGGTGAAATCAATAAGATGTGTAAATACTGAATAGTTCCTCTGGTATGAAAAACTAAAAGTGTAAATAAAGATCAAAATGTATAATGGATATGTAATAGGAAGAAAAGGTTTAATGGAGTAGGAGAAGTAGGAGAGGTAGGGGAAAGGCAAGAGAAAAGAAAAAAATAGAAAAAGGAAAACATGGAAACAGTCTTTGTAAATAGGAAAGGGTGGAGGGGGTAAAAGGAGGGCAGAGGTATGGGGGAAAAATAAGCACCAAGATATATCATGTAAAGGTACAAGATCACAATGATGAATGTACCTGATTGTATACCTAAAATGTTCCAATAAATGTAATGAAAAAAAAACGCGTGACAAAAAGCTCTGACTCTGTGGTGAGACTGTAAAAAAGATTAGATGGATATGGGAGGGATCATGAGTCACCAGTATGACAGTCACCAGTATGACAGGACCCAAAGAGAAGTGAAAGCAATTTAGAGATTGGCTTTGGTTGAGGAGATGTGCTCTATTTTGGACAGAACATCCAATAGAGTTGACATATTAGTAAGAATGTCTACAGGTAGCAAGTGGAAATAAGGGGGTCAGTTTAAGTAGCAGGAGGAAAAGGTGCTATTCATTAATGTGTACTTTATTTATATGCGTAAATTGTGAATATCAAGTTTACTTCCTTACCTGACGGGACTTCAGGAAAATTAATTCATTAGCATCTCAATAATGTCACCCAAAGAGCTTATCTATTTCAGGTTGTGTAGCCATCCATATTGACCTGGTCCTAGAAGTAATTGTTACCGTGCTTGCAAGATGGCTGACAGGCTTTATGCTTTCCTGTATTACATATTGGAAAATAAATTGGCTTCTTATTCTCTACTGTGGAGGAAGACTTCTCAAAATCTTCCAGCAGAATGATCTCATCAGACAAACTTGAATTATTTGCCCATTTTGAATAAAGGGTAATCCTATTCTACTGGCAATCAAGATCCTTTCCATGAAGAACAAAGGACAGTTATGTTTCTGCTGGTCATTATGTTAGATGGAATGAATACTGAGGAGTCATGACAACTTCTACTCCAACTAGCTTTTATGAATTCTCTTGAAACATAGTTACTGAGCATTTGCATGATTTAAGACCCTCTCATGCTTTTCCTATATTAAGAAACATTAATGAAAACAAGAGAGGGGACAACAATATTTTCTTTGATTGTAACTAACAAGGATCATGTGTGGGAATGGTTACTGATTGAAAATTTTATGTGT